TTGTGAGCCTAATTGGTGGCTTCTCACATGCAAATTTACACCCCTGGGAGACAGGGAAAAGCTCCCCTGGAAAACCAGTTCGGTGGAGACTCCCCTCCCCTGGGGAAACACCTCCTGCTTCCCACCCCCACCGCGGGCCAAGGTTTCTGCTGGAAAAAAACACCAGGCAAACCACGTGAGGGGCCTGGAGCACCCTAAAATGAGGGATTCGCCCTTCCTGGAGCTGTGGGATGCTGGGTGGGGCAGGGCTGGAAGGAGCAGGAGTGTCTGGGAGGACACATGGAAGCTGTTGGCAGACACAGGCAGGGCTGGGGGTCACAGTGTGTTTATTGGGGGGTGTTTTGGTGGGCACAGACACCTCGGGTACCCGCCTGGCAGCGGGGCCACGGGCACAGGGAGCTGCTGGATGTGCACAGAGGGGGATGGGAGGCAGCCCTGCTGCTGCCTCGGGGCATCCCATCGGCATCCACCTCAGAGCATCCTGCTGGCCTGGAGCATCCCATTGTCCTCAGGGCATCCTATTGTCCTCCGGGCATCCCATCTGCATCCAGCTTGGAGCATCCCACCATCCTTGGAGCATCTCAGTGGCTTAGAGCATCCCATTGTCCTCAGGGCATCCCATCCCATTGTCCTCAGGGCATCCCATCCGCGCCCATCTCGGAGCAGGAGCATCCTCTTGGCCTTGGAGCATCCTCCTGGCCTCGGAGCATCCTCCTGGCCTCGGAGCATCCTCCTGGCCTCGGAGCACCATGTCATCCTCGGCATCCCACCTTCATCCACCTCGGAGCATCCCGTTGTCCTCATGGCATCCCGATCCCACCCCATGCACCTCAGCCATCCCATCCACTCCGGAGCACCTCGTCAGCCTGGCAACACCCCAAATTCCCGGGAGCTCCCTACCCTTCCTGTACAAATCCCCCCACTCTGTGCCCCCCTCAGCCCATCACCCAAGCGGGCAGAGACCCCTCAGCCCCCTTAGCCCCCCGGGGGTGTGAGGGCTGTCTCACCCACCCTCCTTCCCTGCATCCCACGGGATGGCTGCACACGGAGAAACCGGGAGCACTGAGGGGAGGGGGAAACTGAGGCACTGTGGGTCTGGGGGCTGCCCTGGGGGTGGGTGACAACAGGGGGGCCGGGATTGGGGCTGGGAGCGGGCTGTGACCGTGAGTCAGGGCACGGCGGGCACATGCATGTCCTCGGGCAGGACGTGGCATCCCTCTGGGGGGGGTCCCCACCCCGGGCTAGAGGCTGAGGTTCACCACCTCGTGCCGGTACACCAGCGTGTTGGCCTTGAAGCTGGGGGCCAGCAGGAGCTGCACGTCGGAGGCCGGCACGTAGCGGAACGCCCGCGGCGCCTGCACCGACAGCTCCTGGAACTTGGCGAACTTCTGCTTCTCCTCCTCCCACAGGTACACGTGGGTGAAGGAGAAGTCGCTGCCCAGCGCCAGGTACTGCCACTGCCCCACGGCGAAGGGCTGCATCACCATGGAGCCGCGGGACGGCAGCGTCTGCACCTCCACGAAGCGCTGCCCTTCCCAGCGCACCACCTTGGAGTCGCCGATGTAGCGGCTGAGGCAGAGGAACTGGTCCCGCTTGGACCTGAAGTGCTTCACCATCTGCACGTCCAGCATCTCCCCCACCTCCCCCTGCGCCACGAACTGCTTCTGCGCCCGGCTCCACTGGTAGATCACGGGCGCCTGGGAGCTGCTGGAGATGATCAGCCGGGGTTTGCCGTCGTTCTCCACGTACTCCACGTCGGTGTCGCGGTGCCAGGCGTGCAGCGCTTGCTGGGAGTAGAAGCCGTTCTGGTTGAGGCGGTAGAGGCTTGTGGAGCCCGCCTTGGAGCTGTCGGCGATGACGAAGTACCAGTCCCCCTCGATCTGGAAGGCCTCGATGTCGTTGGGCTTGCGGACCTTCTGGCTGTCGATGTCCTGGATCTTGATGAACTTGTCCACGGCCGTGTCCCAGCGGTAGATGTAGGAGCCGCCGAAGAGCTGGGCCACCACCACGTAGAGCTGGTCCTGCGCCACGATGGGCTTGCAGTGCACTGCCGAGTGAGCTGCCGGTGGGACCGCGGCACGTCAGGGCTCTGCCCTGCCCGGGTCACCCCAAATGAGGGTCCCAACAGCCTCCCCCCCCCGCTGCCTCACCGGGGATGCGGTCGAAGTCGCGGAGTTTGCGCTCCACGTAGTCCCACTTGAGGATGGAGCAGCTGCTGGCACTGGGCTGTGCCAGGGCCACGTACAGGTCGCTGTCGTAGGTGAAGGGCTCAGCTGACACCGCCTGGAAGGGCAGGACCTGGTGCATCACGAAATCTGGGGAGGGGAGAGGTGGCAGTGAGGGTCCAGGCACCCAGGAGCGGGGTGACGGGTGACGGTGATCCCTTGCCTGTGGTGATGCACTGGAAGTCACCGAGCGCCAGGTCCCGGATCCGCTGCCCCTCGAACTGCCCGGGGCTGCTGCAGAAGATGGCAGGGACCGTGGTGTTGGTTCTCTCCAGCCACTCCACCAGCCACTTGATCTTGCAGTCGCAGACCAGCGTGTTGCCACGGAGGTCCCTGCCAAGGATAGCACCTAGTCACCTCCAGCACCCACTGGGGTGTCACCCTGTCACCCTCTCCCCAGCCCGGTGTCCCAGGGATCCCTGCCAGGCCTCAGCACACAGGGTTCTCCTCCCAAGCCCCGGGATGTCACCCTCTCCCCAGCCCGGTGTCCCGGGTGTTCCCGGTGCCATGGCAGCCTCACAGGTCACTGAGGATGTCCAGTGGCTTGAAGAGGTCCCGGGGCAGCGTCTGCAGGTTGTTGTTGGCCAAGGACCTGCGAGACAAGAAGGGTCATGGGGACACATCTCTGGCAAAGCCACCCCCACCATGTCCCCTGCAGGACCCCCACGTGCTCACAGGTGTGTCAGGGACTTGAGCCCACGGAAAGTACCCTTGGAGAGCGCCTGGATGTCATTGTTCTCGATGAACCTGTGGCAGGAGGAGACGGTGGCACGGCCGCCCCGAGGATCCCCTGGCCCTCCCCGTGCCCTCCCCGGGGCTGTCTCTGTCCCCGTGTCCCCGTCCCCGCCCCACACACAGGTACTGCAGGTGCGAGAGCCCGGCGAAGGCGTTGTCCCCGATCAGCGAGAACTTGTTGGAGTTGAGGAGGCTGCAAAGAGAGAGGGGGGAGGTGTCAGCACTGGGTGGGCACCGGGGGCACCGGGATGCCCGGCTGTGGGAGCAGGGGACGTACAGGAACTGCAGGGAAGGGATGTGGGCAAAGGCTGCCTCCCGGATCTCTGTGAAGGCTGCGTTCACCATCGTCCTGCCGGAGAGACGAAGCTTCAGGAGAGAGGATGGCAGCAGGGTGGCACTGCCACCCCAGCACCAGTGCTGAGTGCCACTCACCCGCTGAGTGCCACCACAGCCCCCTCAGCAGGAGGAGAGGGACCCCAGCAGCCATTCTGCCTGTTGAGGGGGGGCACAGAGGGGCCGAGGTGCTGGGGGCTGGCACCCACCCCACGCTGCCCACGCCCTGCGGCAGCCCCTGGCCCGAGGCCATGTGCACAGACACGGGTGTAAACACACACACGCATGTGCACACACATGTACACACATGTACACACACACGTCTCTGCCACACACACCCATACCAGGCTCCAGGGAACCACTGTGTCCCCAGGGACCCCGGTGAGGACCCCCCCAGCCATGAGGCTCTGGTCCCCAAGGTCACAGCCGTGTCCCCTCGGGGCTCCTGTCCCCAAGGTCACGCTGTGGACAGGCTGCAGCCCTGCTCTGTCTGTCACTGATGGATGGCTGCCTGTGCCACCACCGCAGGGCACCGGGACCAGCCTCGGGCTGTCCCCAGCCTGATACTCCCCCACAGCCCCCCCGTACTGCCCAGACCCCACCCTCCCCTCGTTTGCCCCCCGATGTGGCACAGAGGGGCTGTCCCTGCCCCCCCCAGGGCAGCCAGCAGCCACTGGGACATGACCCGCTCCCTGTCCCCATCCCTGTCCATCCCCATCCCGGGGACTCACAGCGAGATGACCTCGGGGGGCAGGTTCTTGGGCACAGCCTTGGAATCCACGCAAAAAGCCGTGTCCCGGGTGCAGGAGCAGGTCGGGGGGCAAGGAGGGGGCCGGGGGGGCCGCCGCCCCTCCGCCGGCAGCCAGAGCCAGGCCGCGGCGAGGAGGAGGAGGAGGAGAGCAGGGAGCCGGTCCCTCAGCATCCCTCTCCCGCGCCGCAGCTCCATCACGCCCCGGCCTTATCCCTGTCTGATCCCGGGAGCTGTTCCCAATCCTGCTGTGCCCGGGAGCTGTGGAAAAGCCTTTTCCTCTCCTTTTTCCCCCGGAGACGTCAGTGTGGAGGAGCAGCGATGGTGTCAGCAGAGGCTGCCGGCGCCTGACCCGCGGCTCTGCAGCACACCATGCTCCTGTGCTGCGGGGAGGAGGGAGGGAAGGAGGGAGAGAGGGAGGGAGAGAGGGAGGGATGCGGCTGAGTGGCAGCACCAGCATCCCCGGGCGCGCGTGTCCGCGTGTCCTCACCAGCGAGCAAACGCGGGGTTCCACGCTGGGGAGAGGGGGGGCGGCCACTGGGTGCTCTCGGGGTGCACAGGGGTGGGGGACAGGGGGGCACCCGCAGGGGTGGGTGGCACCGCGGGGGCTCTCCCGGCTCGGCGCCGCAGCGCTGCCCGCGCCAGTTCCCTGCCCGCTCTGGCGCACTGGGCACCCATCCACCCCGCCCCAGGCGCTCGCCCGTCCCGTCCCAGGCACCCGTCTCTCCCATCCCGGGTGTCCATCTGTCCTGTCCCTGGCACGGCGCCGATGGGAACAATGAGCCCAGCCAGCTCCTCGCCCTCCCCCCGGGGGGGACACCCGCAGCTGCCCGTGCACAGCCAGGGCTGCAGCACACCCGGGGACGTGCCGAGGGTGCTGGGGCCGCTGCCAGAGCCCGGGCCGGGGTGTGGAGGGAGTGCACGCTCTGCCGCCCGCTGTTTGCCTTGGCACCCACCCTCTGCTGCTGGACAAGTGCCGGGAAAGGGCCCTCGGAGGTTTCATGTCCCCTCCCTGGCTCTTCAAACAGCACAAGTGGCACCTTGGCAGCCGGGGCGGCCACAACTTCCCCCCCACCCATCCGTGACCATATAAATCCCCCCGGCCGCGGCTGGCAAAGGGACAGCAGCACCCGGCGAGATGGACGACAGCTCCAAGGAGGCGCTGATGGAGGAGGCACCCCCGGTAAGGAGCACCCACCACCCGTCCCGAGGCAACCCACCGCCGTGCCCGGCCCCACGCCGGCAGCTCAGCCGGGCGCTCCCCTCTCCAGAGGTACACGGAGTCCCCCCGCCTGCCCTGCGTCCCCCACCAGCTCAAGTGCGTCCTGATCGCCGTGGTGGTGGTGGTGATCCTCGTGGTGGTCATCGCCGCCTTCCTCCTCCTGGGGCTGCACATCACCGAGGCACACGCGGAGACGGTGAGGGCAGGGAGGGACCGCGGGCTCCGGGGGCGGGTCTGGGAACGGCCCCGGCCTTGCAGGGATGGGGTTGGAAGTTCCCTGACCCCGCTCCTCCCGGTAGGTGCTGCGAATGACCATCCACGGGCTGGATGGCGAAGGGACCCCCCAGCGCCTCTCCATGAGCAAGAAGGAAAGGACCGGGACGTTCTCGGTGCGGGACGGGCTCAACGCCTCGGCCACGGTGGTGTACGACTACAGCAAGGTGTGCGGGGGGTGCCTGGGGACGGGCACGGCGGGCACGGGGTGCTGCTGAGCTGAGCTGGGCTCTGTCTGCCAACAGCTGCTGGTGGGCTACAGGTCCTGGCGGCACCGCGCCTGCTACATCACCCGCGTGGCCAGGGACAACTTCCCGGGGCTGGACGCTGTCACCGACACCTTCCAGCGCCGGCAGGTGAGCGGGGATGGAGCTGGGGTGGGGATGGAGCCGCACTGGGCTCGTCCACATCCCAGCCCCTGCGTCCTGGGAAGCTGGGGACACACTTGGGGCTGGGGGCTTGCTGTGGCTGCCGAGGGTGGCAGCCCCTGCTCCGTTCTGTGTCCTGCAGGCTGAGGAGGTTGGGGACAGCGCCGTGCCCCTGGCTGACCGCTCCATCCTGGGCACCACCATCAACATCCTCTGCAGCACCGTGCCCGTGTACTGGGCATAGCATCGGTTCCCAGTGGGATGGGACAGGGAGAAGGGGATGTCACCGATGTCACCGTCCCTGTGCTCCCCGTGTTGCCTCCTGGGATGCCCGGGCATTCCTCCTCCTCCCTGTGCCCATCCCGGGGGCAGCCACCCCGCTGTGGGGGTGCTCCATCCGTTGTCACTCGGCACCGTGGTGGCTTTCCCACGTGGCATTCACAATAAAAAAAGTGGGATTTGATTTGGGATTTGCTTCTGTCTGCAAAGTGAAGCCTCTACCCCCTTCTCCACGTGCTGCTCTCGTCCTTCCCGGGGTGGTAGGGCTGTCCCAGGGATGTCTCCTTGTGGGGTGCAGGGTGGGAATGTGAATCCTTCGGGCTGGGGTGCCACGAGCCTGGGAGGGTTCAGACACAGGGGGCAGTGGCACAACTACCCCTGTCAGAGACCAGGCTCCCAGTGTCCCCACTGTGCACTCTCTGTTCCCATGGATGGCAGGAGCAGCCTCTGCACTTCCAACCCTCCTGGAAATGTCCCTGCCCCTGTCCCCTCCTCACGCAGATGGGGACAGAGGGTCTGTGTCACATCCCTGGTGAGACCCAAGCCCTGGGTTCTCCACAGACACCACAATCCAGTTGCTCTAGCTCCCCTCCATCCCAATCCAGTCCCCATCCCCACCCACCCCAGCCCCTCTGCCCCACAGCAGGGAGCAACCTCGGGGGGAACCTCCGAGTGCTGCACTGGAAAACTGAGGATTAGTGGAGCTGGGAGGGGGAAAAGAGACCCTGAGAGGTTGATTTGACCTTTCCAGGGGTGCAAACTTGGTGTTGTCCCCACAGTCACTGCCACAGGCAGCAAGGGGGAGGTCACAGCTTCCGGAGGGTGACATTTTGCTGGGAACAGGAGGGAAATCACATGTGCTGACCTGGAGCCAGCAGAGCTCTGCCCCAAAAAATGCCCCGAACTTGTGTTGCCCTGGCAAGAATCCAGGTCAAGAGCCTGCCCAGGGCTGTGGAAGGTGAGAAAGGCTCCCATAGTGTCCAAGAGCAAACAGCCAGGAGCCACTGGAGGGGCTCTCATGGTCCTTTGTCACCTTGGGAAAGGAGGCAGCTTGAAACGGGGACACACACACACAGACCCCACGCCTGACTGCAAGCGTTGGGGGTGTTGGGGTCTTGGGGGGGGGTTAGAGAGGTCCCAGCCTGAGCCCAGATGCAGGAAAGCCTTATGGATGGGCAAAGCTAAGGCACAGCAGTGTCCTCCTGCCAGAGCTGGGACCCCTCTCACCCCAAAAAATCCACAATGCAGCCCCAAAAGCCACGGGCAGTGGTGCCTGAGCACCCTCAGGACCAAGAATGAGGACCAGGGACATGTCCCAACCCTATGATCACCCCGTTCCCACCCCTGCAGATTACAGGAAAGCTTTAACGCCCTGTTTGCTCTTTGCCCACCTCAAGCAGCTCCAGGTGGCCGAGCTGGCGAAGGGACACGGGCCAGGTCTCCCCTTGGCTGCAGCCACGGCCGGATGCTCCACCCTGGAGGGTTTGCTTTGGCCCTGACCCCTCGCTCCTGGGCAGCAGAGAGCTCCTCGTGTCCGGGGACAAGTGTCCTCGCCCGAGTTCCCTGGGAGCCTCTTGACCTGCGTGTTCCCAGGAGGATCCAGCTGGGAGCGGGCGTTGGGCAAACACCAGTGGAGAGGGTCACATGCCAGAGCCCGACTGCACCTCTGGGGACACCAAACCCTTCACAGGGGCCGCTCCTGTCCCCACCCCAGTGCCCCCGTATAAAGCACCCGGTCCCTGCGGGCAGGCCAGGCTGGGAGGTGGAGGAGGAGGAAGAAGAGGAGGAAGAGGAGGAGGAGGAGGCTGCCATGGAGAGCAGCATGAAGCAGGTGGTGGTGGAGGAGGAAGAAGAGGTGAGTCCCTGCAGAGTGGCACGTCCTTGTGTCCAGCTGGGCGCAGGGCTTTGCCCTGTTCATCCCAGAGAGGCACCAGTGCAGGTGTGATGGGAAGGGCCCCTGGGATGCTGCATTCCCAGCACTCAGGGGCTCTGAGATGAGAGGAATGGCACGCTGAGGGGCAGTGGGATGCCCAGGGGCAGTGGGATGCCCAGGAGCAGCGGGATTCAAGCTTCTCCCCGCAACAATCCCACCCGAACTCTCCCGCATCCCACACCTCCCACCTCCATCCCGCTCACCCCACCTCCCCCTGCTTTTCCCAACCCCCCAGGACTCGGAGCAGGTGTGCTGCTGCCCAGGCTGCTGCTTGCCCTGCACCATGTGCTGTGCCAAGTGCTGTGCCAAGTGTGCCCGGTGCTGCTGCCTGCCCAAGTGCTGCAAGTGCCCCAAGCTTCCCGGCTGCTCCGGCTGCTGCAGCTGCTCCGGCTGCTTCAGCTGCCTCAAGAAGTCCCTGTGCTTCGTCCCTCGCCTGCTGTGTTACCTGCCCCGCAAGCTGCTGGGCTGCCACCACCTGCGGTGCCTCCTCATCGTGGTGGTGGTGGTGGTGCTGCTCGTGGTCATCATCGCCGGTGCCCTGCTCATGTGGCTGCACGTCGACCAGAGCCACGCCGACACCGTGAGTGGGCAACCCCCGCTGCCATCGCCAGGGACCCCCCCCCAGATGCCCACGGGGAGGGGAGGGGAGTGCTGCAGGCTCTGAGATCCCCCCTCGACCCCTCTCCAGGTGCTGCGGATGGGTTTGTGGGGAGGGTCGGCCCGGGAAGAGGACGCTGCCACCTTCTACCTGGACAGCGGGGACGGGAACGCGGCCACCGTCATCTATGACTACAGGAATGTGAGTGGGGGGCACCCGGGGGGGGCACGGGGTGGTGGGGGCGGTGGGATGGAGCCGACTCGGGTGTGACTTTCAAACAGCTGCTGGTGAGCTACAGATCCCGCCTGCACCGCGCCTGCTTCGTCACCCGCGTGGACAAGGACAACATCCCGGGGCTGGACACGGTGGCCGAGACCTTCCAGCGCCGGCAGGTGAGGGGTGACCCGGCTGGGCCAGGCTGGGGCGCGGGGGGCAGCCCCCCGGCGAGGATTTGGGGCGCGGCATCCGCCTCGTTTTCCCTTCTCCCCCCTCCCCGCTCCGCAGGACGAGCAGAGGATCTCCCTGCCCCTGGCCGACCGCTCCCTCCTGGGCACCACGGCGAGCATCCTCTGCAGCGCCCTCCCCGTCTACTGGGCTTAGCCCCGCTGGGTGAGCGGGAAGGGTGGGCAGGGGGCGCTGGGGGACCCGCACCCACCCACCAGCGCCCTCACAGCGCCGGCTTTGCCTTGCAGCACCCCCCGACAGACACAGCGCTGCCGCAGCCCCTCTGGAAGCATCAGCGATATCCCTCCCCCCTCCGCCTCGCCCACCCCGATTTTGGGGCGCGGGGGTGGGCAGGGGGCCGGGGGGTTCAGCGTTGGAGGGGCGCGGGGGGGGTGGGGGTCCCGCACACGCGGTGCCGGGGGTGGGGGCGGAGGGTGGGTGTCTGCACCGCGCCGGGGGGGACAGCTGGTTTGTCACTTCAGTCTTCTCAGCTTCGCCAAACCCGAGTGCAAAAAAACGAGCTTAAAAAAAACATGACATTTAAAAGAAAACACAATTCTCCGTTCCAGTTCTTCGCTCCCGGCTCCCGCCAGCTCCCGCCTTCCTTTTTGCCTTGGAAACGCGTTTCGGGGCTCTGAGCTCTGAGTTTTGGGGGGATTTCTGTTGCAGCCACTGCCTGGGGGGGGGCTCACGGAAGGGTCCCCCCCTCTCTGAGCGTGGCTGCCTGACCTGAGCTGCCCCGTCCTGCTGCCAGAGCCAGGCCGGCAGCCTGAAAAATGGGTCTGTCCTCTGCCAGGCTGGAATAAAGGAGAAGGGCAGGAATCAGGTCTGGGAGCTATTCCTGGAGACAGCCTGTGCCGAAGGCGGCCACGGCCACCAGACGCTGCCCGAGGACCGGGATCATTAGGGCTGGGATGATTAGGACAGGGATGTTGGTGCAGGGAGGAGTAGGCATTGTTAGGACCAGGATGCTGGTGTTCCTGGGATCAGGTATTATTGGGATCAGGCTTTATTAGGACTGGGATACTGGTACTATTAGGATCAGGCGTTATTATGATTGAGATGCTGGTTTTACTGGGATGCTGGTGTTCTAGGATCAGGCATTAATAGGATCAGGCATTATTAGGACTGGGATACCAGTGCAATTAGGATCAGGTGTTATTAGGACTGGGATGCTGGTGCTGGAATCAGGCATCATTAGGACCAGAATGATATTAGTGTTATTAGGATCAGGAGCTGTTAGGATCAGGATTTACTAGGACCAGGACGCTGGTACTGTTAGGATCAGGCTTTACTAGGATAGGAGTCTGGCACTATTAGGATCAGGTGTTACTAGGACCAGGATGTTGATGTGGGGCACCCATCCGGGGCCTCCTGCAGCTCTGGGGTGCCCACCCCTAACCCCTCGCTGACTCCCAAACCCCCTCAGCCTCCCCCCTGAGCTGGAGCAGTTGAAGGAGCCATCAGGAACTTGGCAGGACCCCCAGGTCCCTGTGCAGTAATTCCAGTGTCCTCGTTTTGGGAGCCTGCACAGGGAGGTTTGTGGAACAGTGGGACCTCGGGGGTCCTGAGGGGGTGGGAGGGAATCAGAGCCAAGCCCTCAGGAGGTTCTGGGAATGGGGGAATCCCATCCTTGGGAAGAGGAGGTGCCAGCCCCCCCAGGTTGTGTCACCGAGGGATGTGGACACAGGGGACAATCCCAGAGTGGGGAGAGGGATCCCAGAGGGGGGTCATTGGTCCTGGTTCCATAGGGGGGCATCCTGGTTCCATAGGGGGGCATCCTGGTTCCATGGGGGGCACCCTGGGGTGTTGGCTGCTCTTTGCTGTGGAGGTTTTGGGGGCTGGAGCCTCCTGCTCCTGGAGACCCAGGGACATCCCCCCCCCCTCGCGGAGGGCGATGGCCGTGCCAGTGCCACACCTCGGCATCACCCACCCGCCGTGCCAGGATGCCAAGGAAGCTCTGCAGGGCGGGCAGGTTGAGGTAGGAGCTCTGGAATCCGTGTGCCCGTGCCAGGCGGTGCGGCACATCCACCCAGGACTCCTGCTCCGGGGATAAGGACGTCCCCATCCCACCGCCAGCTCTGCCGGGCCACGCTCAGGCCCAGCGGGATGCAGGTGAGCTGGTCCAGCATTCCCAGCTCCCACAGGGCCCGTTCCAGGTAGGCTCCATGCTGGAATGTTGGCAGTCAGTGACATCCAGGGCCAACAGCAAGGGAGCTGGATCCCGGGAGCCAGTGCTTGGCGTGGGAAACCCGGGCTGGGAAAAGCCTCCCCCCCGAGCCGCGGCTCCCCGGAGCGCTCCGTGAGAAAGGGGTGATCTCAGGGTGGAAAGCAGTGTCTGCATCCTGACATCATGGATTTACATCATCCAGGGACCCGGCCTGCAGGGGATGGAAACAGAAAGTATTCCAAAGCCTGGATTGATTGTTTGTTTTCTTGGGAGACCGGCTCCCCAAATTCCCATCCCTGGGATGCTCCGTGTGGGCCGAGGGCAGTGTGGGGACACAGAGCCAGCCCGGCTTTCTGGGGTTTATTTGTTTGCTCCAAGAGGAAAGTTTTGCTGGATGTGGGTTTTGCAATAAGGGAAAAGGAGAAAACACATCCTGGGACGATCTGCTGACGGGGGAGGAAAATAACGGCCGGAGATAAGGGGGGAAGGAGACTCCCGTCATTCCTGGTGGGAATGAGCCAGGCCCTGGATACGGGGGAGTCCCCAAAAGCAAAGAGAAAGAGGATTTGGGGGGGTTTAGTGGGCAGGGGAGGGAGCGGAGCCCGGATGCCGATGTCATCCAGCCTGTCCCTGTGGGGGTCATCGCACGCAGGAGCACTTAAAATCTGGACAAAAATAAAGTTGATGGGAGTTCTGGGAGGATTGTGAGTAGGAGGAGAGGGACGGGTTTGCTCAGGAGCACCACGGGATGAGCCAGGCACCGGTGGGGGGGCTTCTCACCCCTCACCCCCACTGCAGCATTCCCGGGATGCACGGGAGGGACACTGGACATGACACAGGACAAGGGGAGCAGAAGGGCTGGGGGCACACAGGGACACTGGGATGGGGGGACACAGGAACACTGGGAGGGGCTGGGGATATGGGGACAGGCTGAGGGGACACGGGGACATGGAAATGGGATGGAGGGGACACAGGAATGTGGAGGCACAGGTTGAACTTGGAGATCTCGTGGTGAGTGGGCAGCTGGACCCCATTTCCCTCCCCAGGATGGGGGAACCCGCACCCTACCCAAGGGGGGACACAGCCACCCCGGGGCCAGGGGACAGAATGGGGTGGCACAGGGAGGACAGGAGCAGGGGAGGCAGGAGCCAGCATCCTTATCCCACAGGATGGCACCGAGGGGGAAGGATTGGGGCTGGGGGACGTGGGATGCCGTGTCCCTGGGACACCGGGAGTGCGGGACGGGACTGGGAGGGGCCTGGATCTGTACCGGGGAATACGGGACGGGACCCAGGGGTGGCAGGAACGGGACCGGGGGACGCGGGATGGGACGCGGGGGAGGTGGGATCGGTTCTGGAGGATGGGACAGGGAGAGTAGGATCGGGACCGGGGGATGCGGGACGAGACCGAGGGGTGCGGGACGGGACCGGGATACGCGGGATCGATACCGGGGGATACGAGACGGCACCGAGGGGGTGCAGGACGGGACGGAACGGGGCAGCCCCGCGCTCGGGGAGGGCAGGAGCGGGCCCAGGGGCTGCGGAGGGGCAGGAGCGGGGGCTGCGGGCCGGGTCCCCGCAGCAGCTCATCCCCGCCGCCCCCCCGGCGCTGGCCCCGCTCCCAGCCCTGCGCCCGGGGCTGCAGGGGCCGAGCTCCGCGCTTGAACCCGCCCCCGCCAGATCTCATTTCCCTAAAAAAAAAAAAAAAAAAAGGGGGGGGGGGGGGGGGGGGGGGGGGGGAAGAAAAAAAAAAAAAGGAGCGAAGAAGGGAAGGAAAGAGGGAAGAGAGGGAAAAAAAACCCGGCCGGAGCCATGGCCGGGCTGCGGAGCTGCGGGCTGCTCCTCTGCCTGCTCCTGGCCCGGGCCCTGCGCTTCCCGGACTATTCCTACGTGCTGGAGGAAGAGGAGGAGGAGGACGAGGAGCCCCTGGACTACAAGGACCCCTGCAAAGCCGGTAGGAGCGGGGGGATGCGCGGCGGGGGGCGGGCGGGCGGACAAAGGGGAGCGCGGGGGGGCCGGTGGGAGTGAATGTGGAAGTGAGTGAGTGTGAGCGAGTGCGAGGGCGAGTGTGCCCCGCACACACTTCGGGGCTTTGCACGGCGGAACTTGGCACCGCTGCCCCGCGCTGGCCCCGGGGCCGGGGAGTCCCCGCTGCCCGGGATGGGAGGAACGGGGGGAGCAGCGGCCGGTCCCGCTCCGAGATGCATCTGGTTGTACTTAGGGTGAGGAGCAGGGGGGGCTGGCCCGGCGCCCCGCTTTCTCTCCCTCGTCGTGGCTGTACTGGCAGCTGTCAAAGGCGGCGGGGAGCCCCCATTTCACCCCCCCACACACCATCCAAGCCCATCCCAGGACCCATCTCCGGCTCAATCCCACCCCCCATCCCACCGCCATCCCTGAACCCACACTCTGCACCCTTTGCCTTTCCTCCTCTCTCCCGACCCGCAGCCAAAGCTCGTCCCCCCGGGACACCCGGGCCGGGCTCAGCTCGGGAGGTGCTCCCGCGGGCTGGGGTCCCTCAGTGCCGGGACAGGGGGTTCCGGGCTGTTCCCCGGATTTTGGAAGGGCTGGGAACAAACTGGGTGCTGCGGGGGGGGGGACAATCTCTGTGTTCCAGCGCGAGATAAAGTGGATGGAGGGATTTTGGGGGGGGATGGGGGGGAAACTGAGGCACGGGAGGGCCGTGCAGGGCTGAGCCCGGTGCGAGGGCCGGGGTCTGGCGGGGGATCACGTTTCTCTGTACTGGCATTGTCTGCGCTGGAAGGCGGCTGTTGATATAACTCTGTCTACACGAGGGCTTTTTCTGGCCAAAAATCCTTCCCTTCCTGCCCTCCCGGGCTGAAACAGCAAGGCTTGCAAAACCGTCCGGGCAGAGCCGGCTGGAGCCTTCCCTCCTCTCCCGCTTCCTCCAGCTGAGCGGGAGAGACGACGCTTCACCCTCTGACGAGCCGGACTAATTAGCGGTGGCCTTCCCAGTGGCCCCTCCTCGCCCCGCTCCCGTGCGCCCCAGGACCCCTCCTGGAGTCTCCTCTCGGGGCCGGCTGTTCCCCCCTCCCCATTCCCGTCCTGGCCTTTATGAGATCCTTATGTGACTAATTTAATTACGGCAGCTCTTCCCCGGGAGCCTGGAGGGGGGGTGAGGTGGGGGGGATCAGGCCCTGCCACGCATCGCACGAGCCACGGATTTACCCCCGTTGGGACCCGCAGGGCCGGGCTGGTGAGGTCCAAAGG